TGCAGCGTCACCCTCCTCCGCAGCCGCTGCGGCTCGAGACGCCCAGGGACATTCTTGGGGGCAGCGGCCTCACCTGCTTCTTCGCCGGAGGCTCCTGTTGTGGCCCGCAGACCACAGGGGACGGTGCAGGGCGAGACGCATCGGCCCCCCCCTATCGCCCATTGATCGTCGACAGGGGCTCGATGGCCCACCCCGCCCAGGAACGTGAGGAGCCGCTACCAGGGGCCTCTGGCCGATCTGTCGGCGACGCATCGCCGATTCTGGCTCGACGCCCCCCCCCCCCCGACGTTCCCCCTCATAGTCTTCGGCCGCAGAGGGTCGGGCAGGCCCAGGACCAGGCACGGCCGCGGCCCCAGAGACGGCCTCGTGAACCGCTGGATCCCAGAAGTTACCGAGCCATCCCGGTCCGATGTCGTCCCCGTCTTGGCCGCATCTGATAGGAGAAGGGCTCCCAAACGGTGCGGTGACGGACCGCTCAAGGAGGTCGTTGGGGACTGCGATCCACCACGCAGTCCGTCACCTAACCATTTTGGGGCCCCGAATCGTCCTCGTGGAAGAGGAGGAGGAGGAGTAGAAAGAGGAGGAGGAGGAGGACGACCAGTGTGAACACAAGACTCATCAGCGATGTTGGCATACATCCTCCCTTGAAGCTCACACGGATTCATGTTCACTGAGGTGAATGCCCCGTGGGGAGACAACCGTGTGAAAATCTTGAAACGTGCCAATGCAAAAAACATCCTTCTCAGGACTTCAACGTCACGAGTGAACCTGACTGTTGCGTCTTGACGGTCCTGAGTCGGGCCAGAACACCATTCCTGGGATTTCTACACTGCGAATCCACGTAACTGTTGCGTCCTGAACATCCTGCATCGCTCGAAAACAACATTTCTGGAAGGTAGACCTTGCGAATCCGAGAAACTCTCCTAATTCTTCAAGACGAATATGTGCGCGGCGCTGAGGAGAGAGCCACATGTTGAAAAGGAGCCGCTCTCAATCCGTGAAACTTCTGCAACGTGTCAAACCGAATGTGCGCGACGCTAATTTTGAAAACGACCTGCCCTCAATCCGCGAAATGCTGACAATGTTCTACATCGAATGTGCGCGGCGCTTAGGCGTGAGCTAGATTTTGAGAGCCACCCGCCCTCAATCCGTAAAGCCCTCGCAAATGTAGAAAAGGAATGTGCGCGCGCTTAGGCGAGCGCCGCATTTTGGAAGCGACGCGCCCTCCATTTTCAAAATTGGTGTCAGCTTCTAAGCTTCAGGCCCATACATGGTACGGAAGCCGGGCGAAAAACGCCCAGCCTGCCCTTCCGACCGGCCTCGGGGTGCGACAGGAAGGAGTTTAGGACAAGGAATGGAGTAGGAGGAGGAGGAGGAGGAGGAAGAGGAGGAAGAGGGAGAGGAGGAGGAGCAGGAGGAGGAGGACTGGCGGTGGGAGGAGGAGGAGGAGGAGGCGGAGGTGGAGGAGGAGGAGGAGGACTGGCGGTGGGAGGAGGAGGAGGAGGAGGAGGAGGAGAAGGAGGACGCCCACCCTCATGGACCTCTGGATGACAGAAATACTGCTTCCATCCTGGCCCGATGTTGCCCCTACCCTGGCTTTGTCTTATCTGGCCTCCCAGATGGGGTCCGAGCAGATGGGCTTGGAGGATCGCGCGCATCGCCGATGCATCGCCAATGCGGCCCGATGTGGAGCCCCACTGCTTCCGAACCGACGTCGCCGATACGTTGCCGACGTCGCCGATGCATTGCCGATGCGTCCTCGGTGCATCGCCGCTGCATCGGCGATGCGGCGCGATACTCCGAGCCCGTCTGCTCGGACCCCATCTAGGAGGCTTTTGATCTGAGAGAGTCTGGCACGCGAGCAGCAGCGTGCAGGTAGCGCTGATCATCTTGCGACCGCAGCCTTTCTCCCAGAGCTATTGACGGGCGGCCTCATGCCAGGAAAGCTCGAGCTTTGGAACAGTGCGTTGACCGTCGCAACCCTCGGCTTGGCTCGTGCACAGATTGCCTCCAGGAGGCCTCTACTGTAGTCTTCCATCGGGCGGCCAGCCCGCGGGGGAAGTGCGAAGGGGCGGGGCCTCTCAGAGGGCTCGGAGGCCCCCCCCCCCCCGGCCTTCCGAGAAGTGTCTCTCCTGGGCCTCCCCCGACGACGCCGCAGACCCCGCCGGCAGGCTCGGAGGCCTGCGGCGGAAGCCTCGCCGCCTTCCCGAGGAGGGCCTGCGCCTCCCGCCGCCCCTCGCCCCTCGCTCGCTCGCCGCCGACCTGCGGGGCAGGGCTCCCGCAATGGAGGCGCGCCCGCTGCGCGGAGGAGCCGACGCCCCGCTCCCGGGGCGCCGCGCCTCGCTGCGGCGGCTGCTCGGCCTGCCCGGCCGGCTGGAGCGCGCCCTGCTGCTCGTCGGCCTGCTGGCGAGCGCGGGCTCGCAGGCCTGGGGGTTGACGCCAGCACCAAGATCGGCGGTGTGCCTCTGCCGAGGGAAGACGGTCCCGATCGCGGCGATGGTGGTCATATTCTGGCTTCCGAGGTGGCCGAACCATTACCACCAACACCGAAATCCAGGATCGTCCTCCCCACGTGGAGGCAACCCCCTGGTCTGGTGTTGGTGCCAATTTCCAGGCCTCCAACGGGCGGCGAACGCAGCCGCGTCCGCGCCCTCTCGGGGGCGGCCAAGGGCCAAGAGGGGGGGGGGACTACAGTCGGGGCCCTGAAGAAGGAACCCTTTTGGTTGGGGAGGGGCTCCCCGCGTTCCTGAAGTGTTTCGCAGCTTGCCTCAGGTGTTCCTTATGTTTTCGATCGGAAATCGACGTTCAATTTATGGAGAAAAGGGGCCTCGTTCCTCATTTAGGGTTCCTTAGGTCGACGCCCCGACTGTAGGGGGGGGTGCGTAGGCCAAGACATTTCCTCGGATTGCATGGCGCCTCCTCTTGTTTCATTGCGTCCCTGGACCCCCCAAGGGGCCGCTCAGGAGCGAAAGAGGGACGCACACGTACACGGATCCACGCTGGTTTCGAGAGTTCGCTCTGCGCGAATGTTCGTATCACGCGGCCGGTCTCGCGGGTCAAGGGGCCGTGTTCATGTACATAGCTGGGCGCGTACGTCCTTTGTGGGCTCCCTAGCCAAGAGGGTGGTGGTGACTAGGGTGGGGGTGCGTAGGCCATGACATATCCTCAGATTTCATGGCGCCTCCTCTTATTTCATTGCGTCCCTGGACCACCCTAGGGGACGCGCACGTGCCGCTGGCCATGATTTGCGCCCCCCTCTCTTGAACGCCCCCCTCTTGGACGCCCCTGACCCTCGCAGTCCCAATAACCCCCTCGTGGCATGAAGGAAGCATCGAACGGGTCTGGCATGGGCGCAATGCGCGTCGCGCAACGTGAATTGGGCTGGAGAGTTCCCATTTCTATGGGGACCGCGGACATGATCATGCCTTGCGTGGCGCGATGCGCGAATCGAGTTGACAGGCACCGGCATCGTTTTTTCCTCGAGTCATGAAACGAGTCGGCTACGATGAGGATAAATGCGTCTGGAGAGCGTTCCGGAACGCTCTGAGGAGGCCGCGGCGCCCGACAAATCCTCCAACGCCGCCTGATCTCAGAGATTCTGGATATATCCTCGCCAGATGTTATCCTCGTCCTTGCGTTGTCTTAGATCAAGACGGAAGGCTGTTCGCTATTTTCAGCTTCTGGGGGCTCATTGGGCATCGGGGCCCTCAAAAAAGGATGCAGGAAGCCGGTCCCAGGGAATGGGTCGAGACTTCTGGGGGTCGACGTGGAAAAATCATGACGTCGGGGGCTTGGGTCTACTGTCGAGAACTGCTAGATAGCGTGTCGCTCCGCCAGTTCTGGTCCCACCGCGCCTCGGCGCAGTGCGCTATCCTTCTTTCGGGGGTGGACAGACCTCCTACCCTGACACGTCGATTCAGGAATTGGCCGTTTTCGGTTCGCGAGAGGGCGTCGCGGCCGTCACTTTTGCGGGTCCGGGTCCGTCGGTTTCGGTCCCAGGCCGTTTTCACTAAGGGGAGGTCTACTAAAGGGAGGTTTGTCCACCGCCGATCCGGCGTAATCCCGCTTCATCCGGCTCCATCCCGCTCAATCCCGCTTCACCCGGTTTCATCCGAGGCCCACTCCGGCATAGCAGCCCCCCAATGGGGCTTAGTCCCGTTGCATCTTTCCGGCGAACACCTCCCAGGAGAGGAGGAGGATGAGGAGGAAAAAAAGGAGGAGGAGGAGGAGGAGGAGGAGGAGGAGGAAAAAGGAGGAGGAGGAGGAGGAGGAGGAGGAGGAGGAGGAGGAGGAGGAGGAGGAGGAGGAGGAGGAGGGAGATGGCAGATTGGAGGCGCCCGCGTTCCGAGCCTTTTCTTCCGAGCTTCCCGCCTCGCGCAGCGGAGCGGCGCGCTCTCCCCGCTTGCAGGGCAAGAGAAAAAGCGTGCCGCCCGGGCCGGCGCGGCGGCACGCCACGCAGAGAAGTACCCGACGACCGTCAGAGCGTGAATTACCTACCCCGCTTTCGCTTCCAGGCAAGACCAAGTCATACCATACGCCTCCTCGTCAAGCGGCCTGACCAGTACATGCCGTAGTTTGGCATCTCTTGGTATCTCTTGGAAGCGAGGGTGGTCAAAAGCAAGGTAGGTTTGTTTGCCCCCTAGACCGTAGGAGACTCGGGGGGCGCAGTGCCGCGGCTGCGCGCGCTCGCACGGATGCGTTCCGCGCAGGGCGCCCGCGAAGGACGGGAGCCGCCGTATACAGTCGGGGCGCCGAAGAGGGAGCCCTTCTCGTTGGGGGGGGGGGGCTCGGTGTTCCTCGAAGGTTTCAGAGTTTGCCTCGGGCTTTCCCGAGGTTGTTCCACGGGGAATCGAGGGTGAGCTTATGGGAGAAAAGGGGCCCCGTTCCTTATCTGGGGTTCCTTAGGTCACCGCCCCGACGGTACCCGCGGGGCCGCGGCCCAGGGGCCTGGCCCGCGAGGCCGTGAATACGGATGTGTGTTTTGTTCCACTTATGAGGCGATGGTCGTCGCCTCCGGCAGCGCCATGGCCCTGCCCGTCTACACCGGCGAGCTGGTGCAAGCGGTGGTCAGCGACAGTCGGCTACGCGCGTAAGGGTGGCCCTTCGCCGCGGTGGCCTTTGTGATCCCAGAGCTCCGACGACGCGGTTTGCTGAATCTGGGCGCTTGTCACGGATTTCGGCCCTCGGGAGCCGTGTTCGGGCCTCGGGGCCCTCAGAAACGGATCCAGGGCGAAGAGTTGGCCCCGGTGACCTGGTCGGGGACTTCTGGGGCCGCGGGCTCCGAAGGAAGAATCAGATCGGCGGAGGTCTGGGTGAGAGTGATGCTTCGCTGGGGCGACCGCTTGTGCGCGACTCTGCGGGGCAGGGGGCCACCTGCGAACCCTACCCCCCACGATTCCTGAGGGGGAGGTGGGGCTCACTGCGTTCGGGGAGCGCCCGAGCGAAATGCACCCCGCCCTCCCCCTCAGAAAAATCGTGGGGGGTAGGGGTAGGTAGGGCTCGCAGGTGGCCCCCTAAAGAAGAATAGCGCACCGCGCCGAGGCGCGGTCGGTCAGAACTGGCGGAGCGACACGCTGTCCAACAGTTCTCGACAGTAGACCCAAACCCCCGACGTCATGATTTCGCGTGTGGCCCCCTATCTGCGGGGTAGGGGGGGGGGGGCGCGGGAGGCGCACCCCGAGCTCGCATGGCCGCCACGGTCGCCTCGCAGGCAGCGACCGGCAGGCCGCGCGGGCCCCGCAGGAAGGTGCCTCCTGCCTTGCCGGGGGGGGCCGCTCGTGGCGCGTGGCCGGGCCAGGAGCTTCCCCGAGGGCTGCAGGGCGAGCGCGGCGGCCCTCGCCGCCTGCCGGCGGGAGCGGCTGCGAGCGGTGCTTGGGCGCTGCGTAATGGGGGATCATAAATGAGGGGGGGTGGCGAGCGTGGTCCGAAAAGGTACCCAAACGGTACCTAAACGAGCCCCCTGGGGCTCTGGAGGGGCCCGAAAGGGGCACGAGAGGGGACCTTTTCTGACCCCCCTATTTGTGACCCCCCCATTAAGCCACGCCCAAGGTGCTGCTCGTCTTGGGCGCTGCCTTCGCAGTCGGGGGCGTCGCGCTCTGCCTCGCGTACTACTGCTTCGAGCTGGCCGGGGAGCGCCTGTCGCAGCGGCTGCGGAGCCGCCTCTTTCGCCACTACCTGCAGCAGGCCATCGCCTTCTTCGACGAGCAGTCCACGGGAGAGCTCATGAACCGCCTCGCCTCGGACTGCACCGCGATCCAGGACACCTTGACGAAGCGCCTGGGTGAAGGCCTGCACTATTGGAAGAAGATAGAAGAGCATACACATCAACTTTCTGAGGTCCGCGCGGATCTCTTGGATCGGTGCTGGGACCCCGCGGGCGACGCCTCCGGCGCCGCCCCGCGCGCCAGGGAGGGGGGCCCGGTGCCGATCCAAGAGCTCTGCGCGGAGCTCCGAACGTTCATGCTTATGCAATGTGATCTTCCTCTAACTATGTCGTGCTGACGGCGGTTGGGCTCGTGATCATGGTCCGCACCTCACCCGAGCTGACGGCCGTCGCACTCTGCAGCTTGCCAGTCATCGCTGCCTTTGCAGCGCTGTATGCCATCACGATAATGAGGCTGTCTGAGCGGTACCAGTCTGCACTCGCCTCGGCGAGCGAGATCGCCCAGGAGACGCTGGCCGCGATGCGCACTGTGCGGAGCTTTGCCTCAGAGGAGCGCGCAAGCTCGAGATACGACGCGTCTATCGCAAAGTCATATCGTATTGGAGCCCGTCGGGCCTTAGCGACTGGGGCTTTTGTTGGCCTCGTCAGCGCCGTGGCGCAGCTTGCGCTCGTAGTGGTGCTGTGGGTTGGATGCAACCGGGTCGTGGATGGAGACCTGGACTTCGGCACTCTGAGTAGTTTTCTGTTGCTCGCGATATACGTCATTGGCGCGCTCGGCGGCCTCGCGGACCTTTTCTCGGCGCTGATGAGCGCGGTCGGGGCCTCGCAGCGCGTCTTCGCCCTCCTCGACACGGTGCCGAGCCTCCCTCTCCGCGGCGGGGTGACCCTGCCCGATCTCAGAGGCTGCCTCCGTCTGGAGAGCTGGTGAGGCTTGGGGCTGCGCGCAGACGGCCTCCTCCGGGCGTCCTGGCCGGCATCGCCGGGCAGGGGCGCCGCCAGAGGCGGCGCCAGGGTGTGGAGACCTCCCCGGGCCACTCGGGGGGCCTGTTGACCCAGACATGCGACGTCATGACTTTTTTCAGTGCGGGGTCGCTGGAAGTCTCGACCCTTTCTCCAGGACTGGATCTTCACCCCGAGTGATGGCTTGGCGGTCCTGGAGCCCGGTGAGGGCCCTCGGAGGCCGAAACGGCGAAAATCCTCCGCCCCGTTTTTTGTTCCACGACGCGAGCATCTTATGGGAGGCCAGCACAGGACTACCTGGAAGGGGAGCCGCCTGCGCGCAGCCCGAAGCCCCACCATGGGGAACGTTGCCTTCGGCTACCCCGCACGGCGAGACGTCGAGGTCCTCGTGGACGTCTCGCTCGTGGTAGAGCCTGGTCGGGTGTTGGCGCTGTGCGGCGCCTCTGGCGGCGGGAAGAGCTCGGTCATCGCCCTGCTGCAGCGGTGGTATGACCCCACAGCCGGGCGCGTGCTGGTAGACTCGCGGGCGAAGAAGGGACCGTCCGAAAGGCTGGGTTGAGGGAATCGCCTCTGGCGCCCTCCCCAAGTCAAGCAGTGGCGAAGCGCCCAGACTCGCCCACTCGCCTGTTCTAAGAGCCTTCTGTGAGTTGCACGAAAAGTTCTTCGAACATGTCTGGCTGAGACGGTCTTGCTCCAGCCAGTCGGCGTCATGTTTTCAGAGCAAGGCTTTGGCTGTTGGAGCAATCTTTTGTTCGAGGAACAAGCCGTGGTAGGCCTACAGGAATGGCGGGACGGTCGGTCCTTGCTCAAGGGGTAAGCGGATCGCCCCCCTCCCCCCAGGCCGATCCCGATCCCGGAGCGGTTAACGGCTTGCGCCTGGCAGTCGCGAGGGGGCGCCGCGCGCAGGTCATCGCCAGCCGGGGTGCGGGGTCGGCCCCGGTGGGGCCGGCGGCAACTCCCTCAACCCGGCGGCTGTGGTTGTCTCAGGAGGGAGCTGGCAAAACACAAACAATCGCTGATTTCCGTCTAGCGAAGACAGAAAAGATGGGGGACCCTGGAATTTCTGTCGATCTGTGTGAGTCTCCCTGAGCTCTTTGAATTGAGGATGTCTCTTCTTCGCCCCTGATAGACGGTGTGCCCCTGACGGCTCTGGACCCGTCCTGGTGGCGCTCTCGGGTCGCGCTCGTCGCGCAGGAGCCAGTGCTCTTCTTGGGGGCCTGAAATTTGGGACCAACACTCACACGGGGTGTTGCCTCCACTGGGGGAAGATGCTCCTGGATGTTCGTGCTGGTGGCAATCTGCCGGCCACCGAAATAAAACCCGAATATTATGTAGCCTCTCGGCCACCGAAGAAGCCCAAAGATTTACCACCATCGCCGAGTTCAGGATCATCTCCCCTCGGCGCAGGCAGCCGACGACACGGATGCTGGTGCCAACCTTTGGACCTCCGATCTTCGGCGGCTCGGTGCTAGAGAACCTCCTGTACGGCCGGCCAGAGGCATCGATGGAGGAGGTGTTGGACGCCATTCGGAGGAGGGCCGGTAGAGACTGCGGCGGCATTCCTGCCCGACCAACATGTTCAACACGGTGCGCGTTGGCTCGGCGCGCGTTGGTCCACGTTTCGGCCACGGTGTCGCGCCATAGGCACGCTCTCAGCCAGCGGGCTCAGCTCCGTGTCAACACGCCACGGGTCGCGGGTTGCGTCTCGGTGCGGCTAACCTCCTGGGTCCATGCAGGCCCGTCTTTCGTGATGCGTCGATCTTCCACCACCACTGCCATAGGTAGGAGAGGGAGGAGGAGGAGGAGGAGGAGGAGGAGGAGGAGGCGGAGGAGGAGGAGGAGGCGGAGGAGGAGGAGGAGGAGGACCTCCCCATCCTCGATCTCCCCCGTCCCACCTACACGCCAGTCGTTGCAATGCAGCGTTGCCCGCATCGGGAAGGGTTGGGTTCGCTGGGTCACTGGCCAAAGTACCCGTTGGTGGAGTCCCCGTTTGTGGGGCGCTGAGTGGAGCATTGGCCCGCCACTTCGGGGCGGACCCGGCCGTGGCGGCGAGAGGCCCCCGGGGGAGGGGCCGCCGCGGACGAGCGGCACGCCGCGGGGGGGGGGGGGCCGCCGCTGCGCCTCGGCCGGCCCGCCTCCGAGCCGTGCGCTCGGCGAACGCGGCGTTCGTCGAGGAGCTCCCGAGCGGCCTCCGCACGCAGGTCTTCCCGGGGGGAGTACGGGACGTGAAAACGACCACAGCCACTGCTTTGCTTGTGTTGCCGCCTTCCAGCCCGCAGAAGCAGAGCAGTGGTTGTGGTCAGTTCCCCGTCTCGCAGGGAGATGACCACAACCACTGCTTCTTTTTCGGCCGGCTGGAAGGCGGCGCAAACAAGAAGCAGTGGTTGTGGTCATTTTCCCGTCCCGCAGGGAGGGAGGGAGGGAGGAGTCGGGAGCCTCGAGGCGGGGGTCCATGCAAGCGGGGGTCGGCCAGAGCGCCCGAGCTTGCAGGATCCTGCAGGGCCAGGGTCGCATGGGCCCGGGCTTGGGTGCAGGATCTTGCGGGCTCCTGCAGGATCCTTCGCATGGACCCGGGTTTGGGAGCAGGATCTTGCATGATTTTGCAGGATTCTGCAAGGCCTGACTGATCCGGGTCTGGATTGACCCGGGTCAGAAGATACCCGAGGGAGGAGGAGGACAAGGAGGAGGAGGAGGAGGGAGGAGGAGGAGAAGGCCGCTGCGCACTGCAATGAATGCTGCCGTATACCCGAATGCCTCGGTCGAGGAGGGCCGATCGACATCTCGACCAAACGCAGAACGTGATGAACCGACAAGGAGAAGATGGGGCGACTCGGCCCCTGGAAGCTCCAGGCCCGACAGCCCTGGCGTGCTCGACCCAGCGCTGGGCCGTCCAAAACGACGGGAGCCGCGGGCGCTGGCGCTGCCGAGCGGCGGGGGCGGCAGCGGCTGCGAGGAGCCTCTGCGGCGCGTCGGAATTTTGCCCCCCCCTCCCCCCCCCCCCCCCTCCCACCCCTCCTCCCCCCCCCCTCCCCCCCCTGCAGATGCACCGCATAGAGCTGACAAAAAAACGTGCTGGACGCATGCTGAAATTCCAGCCGGGCGCCGTCGCCCAGGCGGGCGATGCGGCACGCCGGGCGTCGTGCCCTGCCGACGGGTGGGCCCAGGGGGGACGTGACGCTTGTTCCCCCGTCGGCGGGAAGGGCCTTCGGCCAGGCCCGAAGGGCCTCGAGCGCCTGAGGAGGGGGAGGATGGGGGAGAAGGGAGAAGGCCAGAGAGGGGGGGAGAGGGGGAAGAGGGGGAGAGGGGGAGGAGGGGGGGAGGGGGGAGGAGGGGAGGGGAGAGGGGGAAGAGGGGGGAGAGGGGGAGGAGGAGGGGGGAGGAGGGGGGAGAAGGGGGGAGAGGGGGGGAGAGGGGGAAGAGGGGGGAGAGTAGGGAGAGGAGGAGGAGAGGAGGGGGGAGAGGAGGGGGGAGGAGGGGGAGGGGGGTGAGAGGGGGGGAGAGGGGAGGAGGGGAGAAGGCCAGGAAACAGAGGAAAAACGCGACGAGCAGACACAACCATGCAGGAGGCGAGGGGGAGGCAGCAAAAGCAGCAGAGGGCAAGCGCGCACGACGGGGGCGGGCGGGGGGCGGAAGGAACGAGGGTCGTCGCGGGGTTCGTCGTGGGACGTCGCGGGGGTTCGTCGCGGGTCGTCGCGGCGCTGGGGGTCGCCGTTGGTCGTCGGGGGTGTCGCGGGCCAGGGGTCGTCAGGGGACGGGAGGGGCAGAGGGCCAGCCGGCGCCGACGGCGACCGCAACTCAGATGGAGTCAACCGCAGCCGCCGCCGTGGCCGCTGCGAGGCGCGCAGCGGGCACCCCCGCCGACGGCTGTAGCCGTCGCACCACCGCCCGCGCGTTCTCCCGATGCAAGGAGACTGAGAGTCGCTGGGCGTGCCCGTCTGCCACTGCGGTAGTTTCCTCCCGGGTGGCGTCCGCCACCCGCTTGGCCAAGATCGACAAAGCTTTCCTGGCTTCGCGCCCCCACCCGCCACCGTGGACCCCCACCACCATGCATGAGTATGAAGGTGAAGCCCTGCGCCGTGCACTGGCGCTCGGCGTCCAAGTGTTGCCGTTTGAACTCCTCGTGCCTCTCCGTCGCTGCGCTGGGGGACGCGGCAGACGCGCCGAGGAGGTCGCCGCGCATGCCAGAAGTGGCCGCGAAGTCCCAGGCCGCTGGCACCCCGTTGCGCCACTTGGGCAGGTAGACGTCCGCAGGGCGCCTGTCGCCTGCGTCCAGGTCTGGGCCGTCCTGCTCGCCGCCCCGTGGCCCTTCGTTGGCTGCGCGCGGCGGGAGGGGCCCCGGCCGCTCCAGCTCCGCACCCGCGACGCCGGCTGCTTGCGCGTCGAAGAACCCCTGGTTCCGAAGCGCGTTGTGGTGCTTCGTCCTGTCGCCGCGGCAGGAGCAGGCAACGGTGTGGTCAAACCAGACGCCCATCACTTCTCCGCAGGCGGGGCAGAAGTCCTCGTGGTCCAGGACATGCGCGCCGAGCCTGCGTTGGACAGCTACCTCGCAAAGGCCGTGCGGGAAGCGGGTGCCGGCGGCCTCGCAGGGCGGCGCTTGGAGGAAAATGCCAGCGCCAGGTGCCTGGATCAAGCTCAGGTGCGCCCGCGTGGCAACGGAGGCGCCAGTCTGGAGGCTCGCGAGCGCCCCGTCGTCAACGGCGTCGCCGAGTCTCTTCTGGCTGCCGTGCTGCTCCTGGTCGAAAACCACCTTGTCCGCGTCCGAGACGAGGGCGTCGTGGGCCTGCACAGCGTTCGCGAACGCGCCTCCGTCGTGCCCCGCCGCGTCGGTGTAGCTTGGGTAGAGCTGCCTGCAGAGGTGGAGCCGTTGGCCCGGGAGGCAACGTAGGCTACGGCCGCGTGCTGCTCGCCCGAGCGCAAGCTTAGGCCCCTTTTTCGCACCTTGAGTTGCGCCTGCCGCCACGACGCGTCGTTGAGCGAGCAGCCAGCCACCTGCTCGAGGCAAGCCCTTACCCCGTCGTCCAGCGACTGCAGGGTCGCCGTGTGCGCCGTGGGCGGGACCACCCGCGCGCTGTAGCCCAGTTTGCAAAACGACGCACGCTGGCGCAGGAGGTGCAAGGCCACCTGCGCGTCTTCCAGTGCCCCCCAGCGCGTCCACGAGCTCCTGCGCCGCAGAGACCCGGTTCTTCGTGCGCTGGCAGCAGGAGTCGTCGTCGCCCACTGGCGCCCCGAGAAGCTCGAAGCTCCAGTCCGTGCAGAGGCGGAACCCCCGCGGGAAGGCGTTAAGGTCTACTGTGGAGTCGGCGCCGCCAGTCGGAACTACCTTGCGCTTCCCCTCCCCAGTGCTGAACTCGAGCCCCATCGCGGCGAGGGCGGTGACCAGCTCGTGGAGGAGGCGCGCCACGGCGCGCCAGTCGCCCGCCAGGGTCCCGTCGTCCAGGAAGAACACCTTGAGGTCGACCTGGCCAGGGGGCGCGGGCCAGGCAGGGTCGGGAGCGGCGCGACGGACCTGGTCGACGCATCGCTGGAGAGCGAATTCGAAAAGCAAACTTCCAAGAGGGTCGCCTTGCTGGACGCCGCACTCCGAGCGGATCCTGCGCTTGCCGAGGCGGAGGAAAGACGGGCGCGAGTAGCACCAGTCAGCCCAGGGCGCCAAACTGGGGAACTCCTCGTGGAGGGCCTGGGGCAGAGCCTGTCTGTTCAAGGTGCTGAACGCGCTGGGGAGGTCGGGTTTGACGAAAACCTTCTCGCGATGCCCCAGGTTGCGCGCCCACCACTGGCGGGCGACGTGCACAACTGCCTCGGCCCCTCCGGGCACCGCGACGCCGACCTGGAGCGGCGCCAGGCGGTCGCGCGCCGCGTCGGCAACCTCGCGGCACAGACACTTCCCAACGAGGCGCCGGACCGTCCCCCCGACAGCGACAGGCCGCAAACCACCGCCTTTTCTTAAAGGGGGGCCACCAGGGAAGCGACGGCGAAACACTTCGAAACGGAGGCGGGCGCGTGGCCGCGAACGAGCAAGGCGACCAGGCTGCACAGCTATCCGGTGACCTCGTCCCGGTGGGCCGCCGTGCCAAGGGCGTCCTTCAGGTGCTGCCGCCGGAGGCCCGTGGGCCTGGCAGCCGAACCTTGGGGGAAAGCCCGGATCTCCTTCGCCACCGTGGGTTCGTCGACGTGCAAGGCGGCCGCGGCGTCTACGGCGGGAAGGGCAGCCAAGTCCACCTGCTGACGGCTCCGCGGATGCTTGCGGCACATTAGCTGGAAGACGTCGTCGGTTAGGGCTGTCGGCGGCTCGCAGACCAAGCTGGAACAACTCTTGGAGTATTGCGCTTCTGCAGAAAGCTCCAGACACCTTGTGACCTTGTCAGCGTCAGTGGCACTTCGTTTGGCCGGGCGTCGCTCCGAGGTCTCGGCCCAAAAGAGGAGAAGGAGGAGGAAGGACGAGGCAGGGAGGAAGCAGTGAATTCGTAGAACTTTGACTTCGCGGCGGAAAGCCACGGGACCAGTTCTTCAAGAGCTGTGTCCAGGAGGTGGCGTTTTTTGTTGCTAGGGACCTGGGACCATAGCCCCAACGCCCGGGGGCCCCCTAGGTGACGGGGGTTGGGACCCACTCGGGTGCACCCGGACCCTTTTTAGGAAGCAGTGTCTTGGACGAGGAGGAGGAGGAAGAGGCACCCACACCGCTACCCTTCGCCCGTGGTCCTCTTTTCTCGGCCTGGCAGGCCCTCGTCGCCACCGCTGGATTCGCTTCGAAAGTCTGGTCAGAACGCACCCTGGGAGAGATCAGGTAGTAGCGTTTGTCGGCCACGCGCAGACGGGGGGGTAAGGGGAGGGGGGAAGGCTTCTTAGAAGGCGCGGGCCTTCTCTATAATTGTAAGGCTGGCGCCTTCTAAGGAGCAGCCTCCTTCTAAGAAACCTTCCCCCCTCTCCCTACCCCTTTTGTGCGCGCCGCCAATCGTGTCGGCGCGCGCAAGGGAGTGGCGCAAGGGGGGTTGGATTCGGCTGGGGGGTCGAGGTGGGGGGGGATGTTCGAGGTGCTGGGCTCGAGCAGGTTGTTTTTGTTTCCTTGTTTGGCCTCCGGGGGCCGTTTTCGGGCCGCGGGACCGTCCAGAAACGGATCTGGAGTGAACAATTATACCAGATGGACCCCAGAGGAGTCCGGGCCCCGATTTGGGGGCGAATCTGACCTCATCCCCCCTCCTGGCCGAATTACTCGGATCCTAACCAGTTCAGACCCCCTGGCCGCCTCCACATGGGGGTGGCCTTCAGATATGAACATCCGGTTGTCAAATCGGATCGAAGATGCTTAACAACGGCGCATCACTGCCGCCCCCTGCCTTTTTGGAAGAGCCTATGTGGCCGAAAGTTGGGCTAGAACTTGGCCAAGCTATCGGACCGTGTGTTCACCCAGCTGTCGTTGAGCCTTTTCGGGGAACACGTGGGGAGGAGAAGAATGAGGAGAAGGAGGAACAGGGAGGAGGAGGAGGAGGAGGAGGAGGAGGAGGAGGAACAGGGAGGAGGAGGAGGAGGAGGAGGAGGAAGAAGAAGAAGAAGAAGAAGAAGAGACGGAAGAGGAGGAGGAGGAGTAGACCTCTTGGGAGCCTCTTAGGGCATTCTTGGGGTCTCCTGGGAGCTTCCTGGGAGCCTCTTGGAGGCCTTTTGGGGGTATCCTTCGACCTCGTGGGGGGGGCCTTTGGGGGCTTGCTCGGGGCCTCTGTGGCCATCTTAGGGCGTTGCCGGGCCGTCTGACGCTGTCGGAGGCCAGCTTGGCCGTCATGGAGGCCTTTTGGACTTTCTTGGGCCCCCCTCTGGGCCGTCTTGGGGGCTTTTGGGGTGTCCCAGGGCATTCTTGGAGGCCTCTTCGATGCTGTGGGGGCGAGCTTGGGGGCCTCTTGGGCCGTCGAAAGGCCAGAAAGAAGCAATTTTCCAAATCCGACAAGAACAAACCTGGGACAAATCACTGATTTGGGCCTCTTCGGGCTGCCTGGAGAACCTCTCCGAGGCCTCATGGGCCCCCTTGGAGGCCTCTTGGGGGCCTCTCGGGCCGTCGTGGGCCGTTTTGGAAACTTCTTGGGCAAACTTGGAGGCATCTTGGACCCTTTTAGGCCGTCTGTGCACCCTCTTGACGGCCTCGTAGCAAAACCAACAGACATTCAATACATTTTGCCTCTTGGGGCCCTCGTGACAGTGCTCTTGGAGGCTTCTTTGGGCGTCTTGGGGGCGTCTTGGGCTTGGAGCAATCTTTCGGCGACTGGGCCCTCTTGGGCCCCTCTTGGAGCATCGTAGACCTGATCTGCCGGAGGAGTGCCAAATTTGTTCGAAGGCGGCCCGACCGAACAGGGAGGGGGTGGACCGTACTCTAACCCGGGACCCCCACCCTCCCAGGACCCCCCCCCAGGACCCCCCCACGGGTGAGCCTTCTCGGAAGCCACCCGCGGAAGTGCGCGCCGCCAGAGGTCGGCGAGCGCGGCGTGCAGTTGTCGGGGGGTCAGAAGCAGCGCATCGCCATCGCGAGGGCGCTGCTCGTGGACCTCGGGAACGCCTCGATGTGTGGCACCGCGTCGCTTGGTCGGCCAGGGGGCCCCATCGTCGGATGGTCTCGTCTCAGGTATGCTCGCGTCGTGAACGGAATTATGACGGGAGATGCTAGTTGGCCGTTTTCGGCTTTTGCGGGTCCTCGCCGGGCCCTGGAGTCCCTGGAGCCATCGAAAACTATTCGTGGTGAAGCCCTGGCCTTGGGGAAAGGGTCGGGTCTTTGGGGACCCCGTGGAATAAAACGAGACATCGGATGCGATGGGGATGTATTCACGACGTCGTTTGGTCGGCCAGGGGTCCAAGGAGCTCGGCGAAAAACTTCAGTTGATTACGCTCCAGCGTCCTACAGGTTGGGGCGTCAATAGACCGAGCTCCTTGGCCGACCGAGCGACGTGGTAGCCCCTCCCAGGACCCGCGAGTGCTGCTGCTGGACGAGGCCACGAGCGCGTTGGACTCTGCGGCAGAGGCGCTGGTGCAGAGCGCACTGGACTTCAGTCGGCGGCGAAATCCGAACCCTACCCCACGCCGATCAACGATTCAGACAACTCCATGGGCGGCGTGGGTAGGGTTCGGGACCCGTCGAGCACGTGGCGAAGTCCGGGCCCTAACCCTGCCTCCCACCGGTTCAGGAGAATCGATAGTTGGTGGGGGGTAGGGTTCGAATGTCGCCACCTATCAGAGGAGTGATGGTTTTGGGCTGTTGTCGGCCTCCCGGAGGCCCCGGGACCTTCAAAAAATGAGTCCCGGGGGAGAAGAAACTAGCCATGGAGTAAGGGTCGGGACTTCCAGGGACCCCGTAGGGCACCGATACAACTATACCCTTGCCTCGTTTCCGCCTCTCTGGGCCTCATGGGAGGCTGCCCTCGTCGCCTCGGTTGGATTCGCCCTGAAAATCTGGTCAGAACGCACCCTGGACGGGGTCTGGGGAGTAGCGGCCGTACAGTCGGGGCCCTGAAGAAGGAACCCTTTTCGTTGGGGAGGGGCTCCGCGTTCCTTAAGTGTTTCGCAGCTTGCCTGAGGCTTTCCTTATGTTTTCGATCGGAAATCGAAGTTTAACTTATGGTAAAAAGGGGCCTCGTTCCTTGTTTAGGGTTCCTTAGGTCTACGCCCTGACTGCATTCTGTCGTCCCACCAGGACCGGCTTTCTGCGGACCGCACCACCGTGGTCGTGGCACATCTCGGAGGAGGGCCAGCGGAGACCACGGCGGCTCTCCCTGGCGTGCTTCGCCCTTTCTGTTTTGGGCCGTGTGCGGGCTGCGCGTCGCCACAGCTGCAGCCGACTCGAAGAGCGGGGCAGGATGGACCCCGAGAGTTTGTCGAATCACAATCGATCATGTAAGTCTAGATTTAAATGAAATATACATATCGAATCTAAGTCGACCGCTTACAAGAATAGGAAAAAAGGAAAAGCTAAAGAAAAAAGCAGCAGATAAAGATTCGAGAACGTAAGACAAGAAAGCGAGAGAGCAAGACTGCGAGACCCCAGGGGTGGATGGCGAGCCGGCGTGGGCAGAGCGGGAGAGCTGCCGCCGTGTCGGCTGTCCCGCCTCCGAGCCATCGCCTCTCGACGATCCGGGGCGCGGGCCGCATCTGCGTCCTGAGGGGCGGGCGCGTGGTCGAGCAGGGGGGGCACGAGGAGCTGCTTGCGCGAGGGGGGGCGTACAGCGACCTGGTGGCCCGCCAGGCTTCCAGCATCGCGGGCCGACGGGCGCGCGGGACGCTCGTCTCGTGGCCGTCCGCCGAAGGTCGAGGGTGCTGCGGGTTTGATGCAGCACTTCTCGGGGTGGACGGCTCACACCTCCACGGGCTCTCTGCCCGAGTAGGATCGACGAGGCTGCTTCACGAGGTGTTCTGCTCTCTCGTGCTGCTCCTCCGTTCTTTCCTCTCGTCCACTTCCTCTGTGCCTTCCTCTTACTTCTCATCCTCCTCCCATCCATTGTCTCCCTCCTGCCTTCTCCTTCTCCTCTCAATCTCTCTCCCCCTCTCTCTCTCTCTCCCCTTGTCTCTCTCCCCCTCTCTTTCCCGCTCATTCTCTCTCTCTCTCTCTCGCTCTCTCTCTCTCTCTCTCTCTCCCCTTCAGCGTTATAGCTCATACATATACGTGCAATGGCGTATAATAAGTTCTACATATATATATATATGTCGCATATTTCTCTGTCTTTAATTCTCTGCCTCTCTCTCTCTCTATATATATATATATGTATACACGTCTGACAAATCTAGAGGGAGCAAACGTGCCCCGAAGCGACCTCGTAGGACCTCCCTGACCCAGCTCCCTCCCGGCCTCCCGCGCCAGCAGCCTAACCGTGGCGCGTCATTACCCCTGCCCGTCCGTCGGACAAGCCCAGACATCGACTCAGGTACGACATTTGTCGACCTAAGCGGTGTTTTGGCGATTTCGTGGGCCGTTTCCGTTTCGACTTCGTTTTGCAGCAAAGGCTGATTGGAGACGAAACGAGGGACAGTGAAAGGAAAACTAAAACGAGCAGTATTATTTTGGTCGCGCCTTGAGGTACGATGGGAGCAATTTGGAGACTGGTGGGAGCGCGCAGGCGCTCAGATCCGCGACTTGATTTCCGGCCAGTGTGTGACAACATGGTTTAAGCTCGGGTGTAGCCCGCTCCTGGAGGTACTCTTGTGGTTCAGGATTTCACGACTTGCTGCCTCCGAGGGGTTCGGTCCGATCCGATATAGATGTCTCTCTCTCTCTCTCTCTGTCTGTCTCTCCTCCTCTCTCTCTCTCTCTCTCCAGTTATCGTCATATCTATCTCTCTGTCTCTTTCTCTCTCTCTCTCTCTCTCTTTCTCCATCTCTGCTTTGCCCTTCATGTGTATGTATGTATATCTCTCTCTCTATGTCTGTCTCTCCCTCCTTCTTCCTCCTTCCTTCTCTCTTCCCATCCTCCCCCCTCCTCCTCCTCCTCCTCCTCCTCCTCCTCCTCCTCCTCCTCCTCCTCCTCCTCATCCACCTCCTCCTCCTTCTCCTTCCTTCTCCTCCTCCTCCTCCTTCTCCCTCACCCCTCCTCCCAGTCACGCGGCGATGCTCTAGCTCACCAGCTCTGCCGCATGTTGCGTGCTGACATCAGCGCGGTCACTGGGGCTGCTGGCACCCCCGACGGTCCCCCCCGAAGCGGCTCGTTAGACCCGAAAGGCGGCCGACCTCAACGTTGGGCCACGGCTGGGCCTTCTCAGCGAGAGTTTGTGGCCACCACGGGCCCTTCTTTTGAGGCGCCGTTCTTCCGACGCACTGCTCCTCCCGCCTTCTCCTGGCATCCTGGCGCCGTGGAAAACATCACCACAGCAGGGGGGAGGGGGGGGGGGGGGGGGCAGCTCCTGCCCGAGCCCCTGCCCATCGACAAAACCACTCGGGACGAGAAAAACTGGCCCCGGGGACGACGCCCAGACCGCCTCGGGGAGCCACAGCGTGGAAAAGTCACGACGCCGGGGGCTTGCTTCGAGGGGTGATCACCAGGTCGTCTCCTGGTGGCTCCTTCCCTGGTGGGCTGGGGGTACCTTCGCCCCCTTGATGCTGGGGAAAAGCATCGACAGCGTCGTGAGATATCTCCGTCGCCTGGGGGACAATGAACCCGTCCACCGCACCGATCCCGGCCGGGCCGACGTGACGTGCCCCCCCCCCCCCGGCGCGGCAGGCCAGGAGGGCGTTCACACTCCAGGCCTCCTCGAGGGGGTCGGAGCAGACGGGGTCGGAGGACCGTGCCGCCTCGCCGATGCATCGGCGATGCGGCACGATGCGGGGCCCGACGTTCTCCACGCCGACGTCGCCGATGCACCGCCGACGTCGCCAGCGCATGGCCGATGCATCGGCGATGCATTGCCGATGTGTCGGCGATGCGGCGAGATCGTCCGACCCCATCTACTCCGACCCCATCTGGGAGGCCTCTATACACTGGCCCTGGTCCCAGGATTGGCCCGGCCAGGGCCAAATCCTGGGACCAGGGCCAATTCGTCCCCCCGCCCACCCCTATCGCACGCCACGACAACGACGTCGGTCTGGGTGGGGTGGTGCAGCCGGCGCGCCTCGCTCGAAGGTGGAAGCTAGCGCAGGCCGGCCCCGGGTCGAGTCTCATGGCCACGGGCTCGTTGTGAGCCGTGGTGCAGCGTACTTCGACGTGCAATCAATGCACGCTCGGACTAGCCTCAGGCGCGAAGCTGTACAGAGCCAGCGGCGCCCAGCCCATTCCACAAGCAACCCCTTCCTACACTATAGAAGAGAAATCGGAGTAGGGGGGCCACGAGCACAGTCAGAGAGACGCCAGTGTTGGCCATGAGCGGCTGGCAAGGATCAGCAGCCACCACCACGATCTGGCGCTCATTTTCCACCTGCAGTTTGATCAGCAGCGAGAAGCACCGTTCTGCGATTCCGCAAATTCGCAAGCGAGGGTACACTCGAAAGGCCTTGCGAACGGCCACGGTCGCGTGCGAGAGCATGGGTCAAGCCGCTTCAGTCGAGCGCAGGATCTTGCAAAGGCAACGTCGCGGCTGCAAACAGCACGGAGCCGCTAGCAGCAGACGGCGTTCAAACATACACTCCAGCCGTGCCGCGATTGTATTGTTCAGCATGGTATCTTGAAACATATTGGGCTGTATCGTGTGCCAGGTGTGCCGACTACATACTCCACATCCTCCATTTGTCTCCTCAACCGCCTTGGATGCCCTTTGCAAGTGATCTGGCCAGAGGTGCTGCGCCAAGGTCGCTCATCTCACCGCGACAGGCCAATCGCCAAGGCCACACTCCAAAATATATGTGAGAGGCCGACCGAACGGCCACGGTCGCGTGCGAGACTAGAGCTCCTCCTCCATATCTTCCATCGACTACACGTAAGAGTGACCTTTCGCAGGAGTGACCTTTGGTGCGGGATCTGCGGGGTCCCCCCGATCGCCGAGCGCGATGCGGTATAGGCGGCCCGCGCCCTTGGTTTTGGCTCCCGTTCGCCCCTGAAAGCTGCGCACCAAAGGTCACTCTTACCCAGGGTCACTCTTACGTCTAGCCGATTCCACCTCAAATTCCGACTCCACCGCATCCGCTTACAGCAGGACTCGCAGCAGCGGCGGCTCGACGACGGCATGTGAAGAGAGCGCCAGTCGCTACACAAAAGAGGCCATCACCATGCTAAATATGGAGTCGAAGGCGGCCTCGTCCGCACAAAGCTCGTCCAAATAGGGCTGCACAGGGGGGCCGCACTCGATCAGTCTTGCGACGAGGATATCGAACACGTGCCCGATAACCATCAAATCGATGTATTGATACAGCAGCCTTGAAAAAGGTATCCTTTGCCGCGGGAGAAACTTGCTGAGTCATGGCCGCACCTCGTTCGACTCCTGATGTGTCCTTGCCATCTAAGATGTTGGCGAACTCAGCGACCGTTAATCTGTCACGAACGAGGAGGAGCAGCTCGTCGTGCGCATGCAACTTCGAACTCCTTCGAAGATCACTTGCAGAAGCTCCTGCCGATCTCCTCTTGGCTCGAGTTTTGTCCTGTGCCAGGCTGGCTCTGGCCTCTTGGCCGTTCGCCCTGCGGCGCTCGCCGCCAGCAGCGCAGCGCTGCGCCGCCGCGGGCTGCCGCCGCCAGCCTCCTCCTCCTCCTCCTCCTCCTCCTCCTCCTCCTCCTCGTCCTCCTCCTCCTCCTCGTCCTCCTCCTCCTCCTCCGCCTCCTCCTCCTCCCGGCGAGGGATGGGGTGGGGTCCTTCTCCCCGCGCGACCCCACATGGCGGCTGCCGCCGCCCGCCGAGGGCCAGCCGAGCGCGCGGCCGTCCCACCCCGAGCGGGCAGACGGCTGCCGCGAGTTCCCTCCCACGCGCCCTCTCTTGCAGCCGGACACTTCGCTATAGTCGCGTGTCCCGGGTGCCCCCGATAGCTCGAGCACCCGCGAGGAAGGAGGCCTCTGCCGTGCTGCAGCAAAACAAGTGTGTCGGCGCGTCCCATGGCCTCCCCCCTGGGCCGCGTGCGTGCTGCGGGCGCCATGGTCTGCGACCCACCGCGACCCCCCGCTTGGACCCATACGTCCGGCCGCTCCAAGGTTTTTGATGCTTGGGCCCCGGAGGTCCAGACCACTTCCTCGGGGCTGGTTTTTCGCCTTGAGTCGTTTTCTAATGCTCCCGATGCCGCTGCCTGGTGAGGGCCCCTGGAGGCCCAAAGCTGCCAAAATCCCGCCGCTCCAATTTTCTGGGGTTCGGATCTCAGTGGGCGCCCCCGATCCGAGGAGAGGCCGCCTGCAAGTGGGCGGTGTCGTCGCCCGTGGGTCGTCGAGGAGGAGGAGGAGGTGGAGGAATAGGAGGAGGGGAAGGAGGAGGAGGAGGAGGAGGAGGAGGAGGAGGAGGAGGACGAAGAGGAGGAGGGGGGGATGAGGAGGAGGAGGAGGAGGAGGAGGAGGAGGAGGAGCACGAGGAGGAGGAAAAGGAGGACGCTGAGGAGGAGGAGGAGGAGGAGGAGGAGGAGGAGGAGGAGAGAGGAGGAGGAGGAACAGTAGGAGGAGGAATTATATTAGATTCTACCTGTGTGCGTGGGAGGAGGAGCAGGAGGAGGAGGAGGAGGAGGAGAAGGAGCAGGAGGAGCAGGAGGAGGAGCTCGAGTAGATTCGGCC